GTCTTTCCTCACCTCTCCGTGTCCCCTAAGCGCCAGTCCTGTGGCATCTCTCCCCTTTTTCTGCTTTCACTGCTCCTGCTGCAATTGGCTGCTCCCTCCTGTGGGCTCATCCTTCCCAAGACCCTCCTGGCTCCCAGCCAGGACGATGGGCCCCTGGGGACAGAAACGCTTCACCTGCTGCGGCCCTTTCTCTGGGATGTTCTCTAAACACTCAGGGCTGTCAGTGGAGAGACACAGCCAGAGAACATCCGTGTCCGGGCAGGAGAGGGGCCTCCAGCCACCATCCTCCTCCTGCCCAGCTGTGCCCCCTAAAGCCCGCTCGGCCTGTTCTCCACCCCCTTCCATGCCTGCTCCCTCGTTCCCATGCACCGGAGGTCCCTGCACCTCTGGGGACGGGTCATAGTAAGAGTAATGAGGCAGCAGGTCTTGCCACCGGCGCCATCACCACCATCACTGATTCCCCGGATGGCAGCCATTGCTGACAAAGGTGCTGTAGGACTCACAGGGCTTGTGGCAGCTCTGCAAAGGGCCTTGACCTTCTAAATGGAAGGCACTCGGGAGCTGCTCCCACCCCGGCTCTGCGCCAATGATGCTGGTCCAGTGTCCCAAGCTTGGGGACTAGGGCGGGCAGCTAAGGAGAGAACCCACAGAGGACGGTGGATGGCCCCTAAGGACCCGGGGACTTGGTCCCAGGCACCCCCTCTACCCAAGCCCTCTGGGGGAGGCTGATGTAGCAGAGCGGGCATCTGGTCTAGGCTCTCGCTACCGAATGTGTGACCTGAAGACCAGCACCATTAGCACCAGCCCATCACTAGCGCTGCAGACCCTGCGTCTCAGCCCCATGCCCAGGCCGCTCCTGCGCACAGGCCCCACTCGGTGGCCTCCGCCCAGAACCAGGTCGTAGGGGCTTGGTGTGTGGTCTGAGGAGACTGCCTGGCCCCGGCTCTGCTCACTCCTCCTTCCTGTCCCTCCTGCAGCCCCTGCTCCCTGGGGCCTCATCCACACTCCAGGCCTTGACTGTCCTGTCTGCTGCGCCCTCCCACCTGTTCCTCCAGCCTGACCTTCCTCCTACAGGTCCCCACACTCAGCGTCCAGTGGCCCGACAGCTCCCCTTCCCTTCTCTCCAGGGGAAGGCTTGGCAGCCGCCCCCACCTCCGCCCCACAGGCCCTGCTTCCAACCTGCATGGCACAGCTCTGGGATGTCCTCCCTCCCTCCCTCCCACTCCCACCCCAGATTCCATCGGAAATGCTCTGAATCCATCTTTCCACATGTTCTCAGTGTCCAGCTACTTCCCACTGTTCCCCCCTCACCTACCTGCAAACCAGCCTCTCCTCTGGGACACGGGGAAGTGCCGGCTCCATTCCCTGCAGCCTCGGGGGCCCTTCCTCCAGATACTGTTCTCAGCACAACAGCCAGTCTAACCCTTTTATTTTTAAAAAACATATTTTTATTGATTTCAGGGAGAGGAAGGGAGAGGGAGAGAGAAACATCAATGATGAGAGAGAATCATGGATCGGCTGCCTCCTGTACACCCCTCACTGGGGATCAAGCCCGCAACCCAGGCCTGTGCCCTGACCTGGAATCAACTCAACTACAAAGGTTGATGCTGAACCACTGAGCCATTGGCCCAGCCAGACTGCCTTTTTAAAAGAAAGGCTCAGACCATATCTGTCTTTGCTCAAAACTCTCACAGTCATGACTCCTCCGCGATCCCCAGCCCTACCTGAGACAGCGTGTACCTGACTCTGTCCACTGCACTCTGCTGGCCTTCCGGCTGCTCCCAACACACAGACATGCTCCCTGCCCAGTGCGTTTGCGCTTGAGTCTTCCTGCCCGAAGAGAACTTGCCCCCGACATACTCATGGATAAGCACTCACCACTTTCTCATCTTTCCTCAAGTCACCTTCCCAGCCCCACTGGTGTGGCTCAGCAGTTGAGCATCAACCTGTGAACTAGGAGGTCATGGTTCCATTCTTGGTCAGGGCACATGCCCAGGTTGTGGACTCCATCCCCCTGTGGGGGCGGGGGTGTGTGGGTGTGGAAAGCAGCCAATCAATGATTCTCTCTCATCATTGATGCTTTCATCTCCCTCTCCCTCTCCCTCCATCTCTGAAATCAATTAAAATATTTTGTAAGAAGTCCCCTTCCCATGAGGCCCATGCTGACCCCCACATTACAATAGCCCTCCTCTCCCAGTCACTTTGCTCAGTGGAGAGAGTGTGGCCCTCGGGCTTAAGGTCACAGGGTGTACTCCGGTTAAGGGCATCTGCCTCAGTGCAGGCCCATGGGATCCCCTTGCTGGAGGCAACAAAGAGATGCATCTCTTTTACCTGGATGTTTCTCTCCCTCTGTCTCCCCTCCCCCTCAACTCTCCTTAAAAGTCAATGGAACAATATCATGGGTGAGGACCAATAAACAAAAAATGCCTTCCCTCCCCACAGGCACAGTGGACCCCTCCCCCACAGCGCTCACCGCCTTCTAGCACAGACGCCTCACTGGCTCTGGGGAGAGGGAGCAGCTTGTCTCTGCGATAGAACACACGCTCTGGGAGGCCGGCAGCGTGGCCTGCTCTCAGCTCCCTGAGGTGGAGCCGCCTCACTTCCTGTGCCTCACAGGCCTTCTGGGCTTTTCACAGGAAGGTGAGGCTTTCCACCGGCAGGTAGGCCCCGACCACACTCCTCCCTCACAGCCTCCCCGTCACCCTGCAAAGAGCACAAAAGACACAGCAATCTGCAGAACCCTTGGTGTTGGCAGCTGCCTCACGCTGTGGAGGACAAGCATCATGAACACATTCAGGTCAGTGGCTGTAACTGGTGACATTCTCACAGCCCACTTCATGCTCACAGTGTCCCACAGACTCCCCACCACCCAGTCCTCCCCTCTACCCTCCCCTCCCCACGGCAGGGTCTCACCTTTGGAAGCCAAGAGAGACATATCAGAGCCCTGGGTACTGTCACCGCCTGGGGGGGTGGGGGGGACACACAAGTAGAGGTCAAGCCCCAGGGCAGGAGAATAAGGAGGAACTATGGGGGCGGTCCCCTATGGCTCCCATCTGCACTTTCACAGGGCTAAGGGGTCCCCCCTCCATACTCACTGGCAGCCTGAGCGTAGATCCCTCCTCTCCCACCTGCGGGAAGAAAACATCCCATGAGAGACCAGGGAGGAGGCAGGGCCATGAGATCCTAAAGGAAGCCCTAGTCCTGGGCCCCAGAGAAGTTTCCAGAACCCTGTGTGTAGACCCAGGGCAGGAGACTAAGGAGGAACTATGGGGGGGGGCCCTATGGCTCCCATCTGCACTGTCACAGGGACTCAGGGGTCACCCCTCCATACTCACTGGCAGCCTGAGCGTGGATCCCTCCTCTCCCACCTGTGGGAAGAAAACATCCCGTGAGAGACCAGGGAGGAGGCAGGGCCATGAGATCCTAAAGGAAGCCCTAGTCCTGGGCCCCAGAGAAGTTTCCAGAACCCTGTGTGTAGACCCAGGGCAGGAGACTAAGGAGAACTATGGGGGGGGCCTTATGGCTCCCAGCTGCAATGTCACAGGGCCTCAGGGGTCCCCCCACCATACTCACTGGCAGCCTGAGTGTAGCTCCCTCCTTTTCCACCTGCGGGAAGAAAACATCCCGTGAGAAACCAGGGAGGAGGCAGGGCCATGAGGTCCTAAAGGAAGCCCTAGTCCTGGGCCCCAGAGAAGTTTCCAGTATCCTGTGTGTAGACCCAGGGCAGGACCAGGACACCTGAGGGAAGTGCATGTGTGGGGACTGGACCCACCGCCCTCCTGGAGGTCTGTGCTCAGCAGGGACCTGCCCTCTGACCTGGGGCTGCTGGGCACAGGGTCTCCACCACCAGCATCATCAGGTGATAAGTGGGTCCCTCATTATCCCACGGGCCTCACTACAGAGTCAGTGTAAGCAGAGCCCCACACTGGCCATTACACGCGTGGGGATGGTGCTTCCCTTAAGGGAGGCAGGACACATGTCTACCTGGGCTTGGATCCCCCAGTGGGACAGACACTCGGGTCAGACACTCAGACCCCACCGCTGCCCACCTGAGCGTCTCCTCCCCCACATCACAGCTCCAGCCACGGCTCCCAGCAGAACCAGGCCCCCAGCGATGCCCATGATGATGAAGATGAAGGTCTGAGAAGGTGGCTCTTGGAGGAGAAGGGAAGAGAGGGTGAGGGCCCTGAGCCCAGGACTCAGCGCA